TATAAATTAAATATATAACCAGTAATAAAAACCAACCTTTATTGGTCCACCTCGAACAACGCTTAAAAAAAGTATCAGATACCACGTGACAAAGCGCCGTTTCAACAGCGGATTTGACTGATTACAATAATTACACATTGTTTGACATTGTATTAAAATACACATTTAAGAATAAATATCATTCATATTTAAATTTATAGTCATTCTAGTCACAGTCAAGTACACATTATCTCAGTGTGTAGTTTACGCCAGTCCAGAAGGAAGCGCTCTATTCCGGTATCAAGTGACGTATTATACACGCGCCGTTCGGTGTTCTCGTACGTATTTTGTAAACAGTCGCGTTTCTGGATTAAAGAAATCCGTTTATCTCTCGCAATGAACGAAGAATACTACGGCAATATTGGAGAATGGGAGGGACATGACGGCAACATGGTAGTTTACTGAAACCACCCCACAGACACCAAGACCATGAAATTATAATCTGATTTACCAGCTAACGTTACAATTTTGAAATCAGGAGTTGCTTTGATTTCCATTTAACGTTACACTTACAAAAAGTACAGTCGTGGTACCATGTTTACCATAAACTCCAAGGTAATTATAATAACTACATGGTACATGTTCAAAATCCATAATTATACTAAGATGAAACATGGTAACGTTACATAGACAAAAACATGCAGTTACCATCGTGACAAAAAAACCGTCCTTATTGCTGTCGTAATAACGAGAGTTAAAATGTTGGATTGTAATATGCACAAATAATATTTTGTTATGAGAACTACTCTAATCTCGTTAAATAGCTTCTGATTCGCCACTAAAAGATGGCTTGATCGTTTCCCCTCTTTCTATCGCTCCAGGAGGATGGATACGCGGATGCTGAGGCTGATGGAAAAGTTCAGGAGGAGTGTCTGCAGAAATTCTCCAGCAGAGACTATATTATGGAGCCCACCGTGTTTAACACCCTGAAAACGTAAGTCAACCGAATGGAGAGAGGGCGACTTCTATAGATAAAAGGGGAAGATGATTAACACCAATTTTTAACTTTGTCAGGTTAATTTGTGTCCGTGTCTCCGCAGGTATTTCCAGGCAGGTGGTTCACCTGAGCATGTCATCCAGCTGCTCTCAGAAAACTACTCTGCTGTTGCACAGACGGTCAATCTTCTAGCGGAGTGGCTCATCCAGATGGGTCAGTGAATGTTGGCCAAATATCCTATATAAATGCGTATATAAAAAAATTAATCCTATATAAAAAATTCCCTTTTACTGGAATTTCTGCACACTTCATGACTCCCTAAATGACCACTAAGTTATCACCCATTAGCAGAATACGGTTGTCCGTCCTGTGTGGTATTGGAGTTTTTAATAACGGTTACGTTCACACGGTTCGGTTATTATAACATTTTAAGGACTGGCAGACGAAATTTCGTGAACGGGAACGTACTGGACAAATAGTATGATGACATACCTCTAACTACAATATAATTTTTTTTTTTTTCAATAAATTATAAAGTTTCTATAAAGTTAAGTACATTTGTTATTTTTTCATAATTTGTTGGGGTATTACATTTATTCTTCATTTGAGGGATTAGTATTTTTGTTTTCCTTTTTAAGATTTACTAAGTAGTTACAAAATGTTACAAGTTTTTTTCCTTTTCATTTTCCTTAAGAATTATATGTTTTTATGGTGTTTATAAAGATTTCATTTGTGTTGCATAAATATTGTAGAGACTGTAGCCTGTTATTTCCAAAAACAATAGTCAGAAGTAGTCATTTTCACAATAAAGTATATTTATCTATTTTGTAAATGCAGGTTAATGATCATATTGTGAATGATTTGTCCATGTGTTTAATTGTATAAATTCATTTTCGAATCTTTAACATGATTCGAATTCTTTAACATAATCTGCCTTAATTTTTGCATCTCAAATTCCAAAATCTTACATTTTCTGTTTTTCGATAAGCTGTTACACTTGAATGTGCATTGCAATACAGAAGAAAAAGTATTTTGCTACTTACAGTTGGACTTTATCAGGCTAATGAGTTTAATGTTCATCTCTGTTCAGACACCAGCATGGTTGGAGCAGATGATAGCACACACAACATGGAGAGATCTGTTCTACAAACTGGCTGAGGCACATCCAGACTGCCTGATGCTCAACTTCACTGTCAAGGTAAAAAAAAAAAATGGGCTGAAGTGAGTCAAAGACTTTCATATTGAGTTTATGTAGTGGTAAAAAAAAATGTTTCTTGATCATGTATGTTGTCTTTAGTTGATTTCAGATGCAGGATACCAAGGAGAGATCACAAGTGTGTCCACAGCCTGTCAACAGTTGGAGGTTTTCTCCAGAGTCCTAAGAACCTCTCTCGCTACACTCCTGGATGGAGGAGAACAGAATCTGGAGAAAAATCTGCCTGAATTTGCTGTGAGTATTGCTGATACTTTTTGAGGTTGCAGTATTTATATTTATGGTTGTATTTTTACAATCGGATCTCATTCTTGTGTGTTTTGAGCAGAAGATGGTGTGTCACGGTGAGCACACGTACTTGTTCGCTCAGGCCATGATGTCCATCCTCGCTCAGGAGGAGCAGGGCGGCTCAGCAATGCGGCGAATTGGACAGGAAGTACAGAAATACGCCCATGAGAGGTGCTTTTGTGTAACACTCTCAGTTGTTTAATCTGCTTTATTGATCAGATTATTAATTATAACCATGTTATTGATTTGTTTTCAATGTTTAGAGGACATGATGCCAGTCAGATCACATTAGCGCTGGGCACAGCTGCTGCATATCCACGCGCATGCCAGGCTCTTGGTGCCATGCTGTCCAAAGGGGCTCTGAACCCAGCAGACATCACAGTCCTGTTCAAGATGTTCAGTAGCATGGATCCACCTCCTGTAGAGCTGGTCAGAATCTACATTTACGTTTATGCATTTAGCCAACAATTTAATCCAAAGCAATTTATACTAGAGGAGCATAAGCGATTTGTCACAAATTGTTCGGCGCCAATAATATTTGTAGTATAGAATTGCAAATTTTTTAGACCGCTATATTAGGAAACAAGCCAATGATGCAAAGGAGAGATGCAGAGAAGAAATACTTAATACTTCTAACACTTTGTATATTTATGTTTAAGTTGCACATAAATGATATTGCTAACAATTTGTTACTAGCTTTAAAGAAATAGTTAACCAAAAATGAATCTCTGCTTAAGATTTACTCACCCTCAGGCCATCCAAGATATAGATGAGTTTATTTCTTTAATTGGAACAGATTGGGAGAAATGTAGCATTACATCTCTTGCTCACCAATGGATCCTCTGCAGTGAATGGGTGCCGTCAGAATGAGAGTCCAAACAGTTGATAAAAACATCACAATAATCCACAATTCTAGTCCATCAGTTAATGTCTTGTGAAGTGAAAAGCTGTGTTTGTAAGCAACACATCCATCATTAAGGCATTTTAACTAAATTTCTAAATATCTCCAAATCTGAAACAAACTCATTTACATCATGAATCGCCTAAGGTAAATGTAAAATTTTGGGTGAACTATTTCTTTAACAAATACCAATAGAAAACTGTATTTACTAAACTGATGTTAACTGAACTGCTCCTCTCTCCATGTAGATCCGAGTTCCTGCCTTTTTGGATCTGTTCATGCAGTCGCTATTTAAACCCGGAGCTAAAATCAACCAGGACCACAAGCATAAATACATCCACATCTTAGCGTATGCTGCTAGTGTTGTGGAAACATGGAAAAAAGTGTGTATTAAAACCACTCTTAACACATACTGTATATACATATTTCTCAGTACATTATCTTTACAAGAAATGTTGTGGAGGATTACATAAAATATTACTTGTTTCTAGAACAAGCGTGTGAATATAAATAAGGATGAGCTGAAGTCGACCTCAAAGGCCATTGAGACGGTTCATAATCTCTGCTGCAATGAGAACAAGGGAGCTACAGAGCTAGTAGCAGAACTCAGCACATTATACCAGTGCATAAGGTATGAACAAACACATTTATATATGTATTTTTAAGGAGACTTTAATGAATAGAAAGTTCAAAAGAACAGCATTTAAAAAAATATATATTTTGTAACATTATAAATGTCTCTATTGTCACTTTTGAAAATCCTTGCTGAATAAAAGGATTCATTTGACCTTCTGAACAGTAGTGTCTTATAAGATTATATATTTGATATTTTTGTATTTGTGTTGCAGGTTTCCAGTGGTAGCGATGGGAGTGCTGAAGTGGGTCGACTGGACGGTGTCTGAGCCTCGTTACTTCCAACTACAGACGGACCACACTCCTGTCCATCTAGCACTGCTAGATGAGGTAAACATAACCTCCATGTCATACCATTGTATTTGAATTTAAATATACCAACAGGGTACAAACTGGTCACCTCCCTAACCATTATGAAGATACTGATTCACCATAGTTTAAGAATAAACATTTGTCTTTATTTCTCAGATCAGCACATGCCATCAGCTTCTCCATCCTCAGGTGTTACAGTTGCTCATCAAACTGTTCGAGACAGAGCACTCGCAGCTTGATGTCATGGAGCAGGTTTGTAATTTTTATTTGCGTCTCCAGTGCTCACATTTATAACTAAATTCTGACTACTGTTTATCTTTTGTTTTTCAGCTGGAGCTCAAGAAGACCTTACTGGACCGTATGGTTCACCTATTGAGTCGAGGTTATGTTCTTCCAGTGGTCAGCTACATCCGCAAATGTCTTGAGAAGCTCAACACAGATATTTCACTTATCAGATACTTTGTTACAGAGGTGAGTCTCAGGTCTTTGTTTTGAGCTTTGATTGATTTGAGTGGCAGTTTCTTCTGTCATTATTGAGTCTGTGGTTGATTTTCTTGTCCCCATTTAATTTTGGGCAGGTTCTAGATGTGATAACCCCTCCATATACCTCCGACTTTGTCCAGCTGTTTTTGCCCATCCTAGAAAATGACAGCATAGCAGGAACAATCCGCACTGAGGGAGAACATGACCCTGTAGCTGAGTTCATTGGTGAGTCGTTTTTTTAAAAGAGGAACCATGACTTATGATGAGGCACACAAATGCAACTCATGCAAATTATGTAGTAGTTTTATACTTGTAGTGCTTGGTTAATAATCTCCAGTTTTTCATTATAGCTCACTGCAAATCCAACTTCATTATGATGAACTAAACTTCGAAATTAGAGGGACGTTTGAAAAGTGAAAGGATCAACTCGTAGGACCGGAGCACCCTTCATAGACAGACAACTAATTTCAGTGTACATAACTGTTGTGTTGACCTTTTCAAAGAAAATATTGACATGAATGGTGAACTTTGAAAGTGTGTTTTTGAGGTCATAACTTGTAGAGCTTCTATTTTGCTTAGAAACTATTTGTGACGTTGGTTTTTCTTGTATATTGTAATTTTTATTAAACATGATTGTACTAAATCTATGTGTCATCATTTCAAAGGTCACAATATATGTGGTCAGGTATACTGTTAACATGTTTCTTTGGAGGTTTTAGTCTTTAGTAAATGTAAATGGCAATTTAATTGAGAGGCAGCTTTACTGCTGTATATGCTTCTTCAAAACAGTTCCAAACTAAACTAAAGCAAAGCATTTTTTTAAAGTATAGGTGTGGTCCTTGGCTGCTATAACTGAAAACAAAGACGGTTTAGATGTTGGTAATAAACTTTGAGGCATTGTTCGGAGTTTAAACTAAAGCAATTTAGCAAAAATACCCATAATAAAATGACAAGAAGTAGAACTTGATAAGACTTTTATTGAAGAGTGTGATTGAAAACAGTGCATTGATTAAACTGATCCATGGCTTCACATGTTGACATGGTTTGACAGATGCATTAAAAGCAAAATCCCCATCAGAAAGAGATGTTTGCTTTTAATACAACATAGCAAAACAAGATCATTAGATGACCATTTGGCCCGAGGTCGGTCCATTTAAAACACCCTAAAATATGAAATGTCCTGGTATAAAAAAAAAAAAGAAGGGTGAATTACTTTTCCCTTTTTGTTCATTAAGTAGTGTAGAAAACCATTAAAAAAAGAAGGCCTATGAATGCAGAATTACAGAAACAATTCTGTACAATTTCTGATGAAACATTCCTGAGATTAAAAACGATTAAAACCAAACTTCGGCAACTGATCTTAGGCAGCATACAAAAAAAATCATTTTTGGCAAATCTAAAACTGCGTTTGCATGTGAAGAACATGCCATAGCCATCTACAGGTAGTTTTTGGGTAGGATGGGGTCTCCATACATGCAGTCCTCTTCGATGGCGAGGTTGTACTGGCTCCCACTGCCGCCCTTGTATGCGCTGGTGACTATTCTGAGCCAGCCTTTCTCTCCCTAAAAAATAAAAGACCAGAACACACGTTCAACATCTTCATTTGTTTGAAGGGCTAACTTTTCAGGTTCTGCTTACCCATGGCTCTCCCCAAGAATTACGGATGACCCAGTATTCCACTCCATTTTCGTCAACGCCCCAGCCGGCTACAGATACAATGTGGTTTATATAGGGATCCTGTACGTACTCCGAGTACACACCACCTGTGTACGCATCCAGCTTATCTGTTGCCATGATTCCACAACTACAAAGGCAAAAGTGTCAGTGTCAAAATCTTGATTCAATTATAAGGAGATTATATTACCTGATCTTACAAATCCATAACCAAGCAGTTTGTATACCTGATGGGTCCTCCAGAATAGATCTCAGCTTTCATCTTGTCCAGCCCGCTGACTGAGCCATAGTCTCCGACTTTCCAGAGAGTGAAGTTCTTTACTACATTACACACGCCAAAGGTTGTGCAGGTTCCACACTGATTAAAGGTGTTACAGTCTAAAAAAAACAGAAATACAAACTAATGCAAAACAAATGTCCATGCAAGAAAACTACCAGATGCGACACCAAACAACTTTCTTACCCTGATTTTTGGCTTGATAGTTGTTGCAGGTTTCATCAGGAATGCCATTACTGTGTGCATATTCCCAAACACCAGAATGATCTCCACCATTGCAGGAACCTGCGTTGCCACAGTCAATCACGTTCTGGACAGAGAGATAGGCAGATGGCCATGCTGCTTTCCGCTTGATGTTGATCCGATCTAAAAGAAAAAAAGAGCAATCAAGTTATAAACAGCTGACAAGAAAAGAGGAATTTTAGTATTTATTTTTTTCTTTTACACCAAAGAGGCAGTAAAAAAAGACTTGCTTCACCTTTAAAAACTACTGATTATTAAGGTCAAGTGGTCAAACCAAAAATGTGGTCAAATTAAAAATTATATAAGTGTTTTTAAAAAAATTTTTATTCTGCTTTATTTTGCAAGACTATTATAAAAATAGATAGTCAAAAATTATATTTATATATATTTTTATTTTTTACTATAAATTGAATATGAATCCAACATCAAGATGATAGTCAGGTGGTACATCAATGTCAAATGGCATAAATATCATAATTGCATATGACAGATCCAGGCCATTGCATTTTTAATGATTAAACAACCGGGTTAGAAGTAAGAGGCTACAACGGGGCTGTTCTGTGGTTCCTCAAGAAAATGTATGTTTCACAAAAAAGCGTCTTCAATTACTCATCCTCATGTGAATCCCATGATTTCCCTCACAGAACACAAAGATATTTACCTGAATTTTTTGAGGGAAAACCAGCCAGGACATTTTGCTTACTATTTCCTTTTGTGATTCACAAACACACAAAAAAGATATATATATTTTTAACAACATTTTCCCTCACCTGCCATAGCACTAGTACTTCCATGCGCCCAGCAGGAGCCGCAGTATTGTGGAATGTGTTGGTTGCGTGTGGTGCTGACGTAGTTGACGCCATCAATGTTTCTCCAGTCCCATGCTTTGGGGAGGTCTTTTAAATTCATATATTCATAAGGACGTGGTCCAGTCCTGAAGAATACAAGAAATTTCAAGTTGTTTAACCATCTTCGTATGCCATTAAGCCACAAATCCAGCTCTCTTCACTGATCACAAAAACACTGAAAAGGCATTCAAAGCAAGCAGCAAGTGGCCATGAAGGAAACTCCAGCAAATAACCCATGCACAGGCCATCTGTTCTTCAGTTAACAACCAAAAATGAGAAATGAATCTTGGGGGCATGGCATATATAATAATAATAAATGAAGCAGGTGTCAAACGGCCTCATGATGGCTACCTTTTCACCACTCTGCTGTGTTTTTCTCTTAATAATTTCATGTGCCGAATTGCCATGACGTGAGTCGCCTGCAATACACTGGGCAACAATGGAGCCAAAAAATTAAAATGAGACCAAATAATGGGGGGAAATATCTCATGCACTTCACTGGAAATTCAAAGTCAATTTGAGTGCATTGCATTGTGGGATACAGTATGCTGTGCTGAATACTGCACATTTTGGCAAATCAGTTCAAAACAGAAAACTCACACATTTTATACAACAAAAATCTAGTGTTATTCCACACAAAGCCCATATGAGCCAGGATAAAAATAAAAATAAAGTATATAATATCATTAGAATGTACCAAAGCTCAGCTTAGCTAATATCTAACAGATGAACTAACTATAAATAAGCCGAGAATAACTATATAATAAATATATCAGCATACAGAACAGTACAGGAAATAACTTCAAACACTTATTTGCATATTTCTCAGCATGACATTAACATGTATTTTTGCTTACAAACGTACAAATCCAGAACAGAACTTGTTTCATTTGATCTCTTTTAGGGCAGTTTTTAAGAGAGTAAGAAGAAAAAGTTAAAACCTACTAGTAAAAACCAGACGTGGCTAGACAGTATTTTTAGCCTTAACAGTCTGACTTGGGAACAAACATCTGATACCCAAAACTGGTGTCATTTTAGAACAAATGATAGTTACATACTTAACTCCTTGTAGGTTTCTCCTCGGCTGGGGTCTGTAGCAGGGCTCATTCTCGTTAAAATACTGTCCGGCGAAAACACCCGACAGAGCAAACAGATAAAAGAGAAACACGCGAGCCATGTTGAATCTCAGGCGGTCATATGATCATCACACGAGTCTGCACTGCGGTTTTATTCTTCGTGTCTGCGTGGAGGCGTGGAGAAAACATCGAAACTAACCCTTATTGGACACCTTCTAAGAAAAATAGGTTATGTTTGTCAGACGCTTTCTGGCCTCGAAATAACCGACAGTACGTTATTGGCGAGACCGGGGCTAGTTGTCACACACGGAAGTTGTCACAAACTTATGGATAAATGCTCGTTTTCAAAATCTACTTCCGTGTCAGTAAACAGCTCTGAGTAAACATTAATTTCCCATAGTGACAATTTACCCTATAGGGTGTGACAGCATAGGGCGTTTTGTCACAAAAGGTCAGTGTGCAATAAAATTAACTGGATCTTTTTTGGGTAATACTTATAGAAATGTACAGTATTTTTTTTTTGTAGCCAACTTGAGACTCTCTCTCTCTCTCTGTTTGTGTGTGTGTTTGTGGAAATGATTAGTCTCAATAAATGCTCTAGTATCAATAATTTTTTGTAAGGCATAATGAGGCACGTAATATGAAAAAAAATATATTGGGTCTAAAATGTAGGCTGTGTTTTTGCCCAAAACAGTGTTATTTTAGTATTATGTATTTACTATATTATAGTATTTGTTCATATTTTGATTTGTAACATTTTTATTAGTTTTTGCTTTAATTATTAGCTTTAATTTTTCTTTTTTAATTTTAGTTCTAGTCATTTTAATACTTAAACTTATTTTATTTTAGTTAGTTGCCAAGGCAACATTTCTCATTTTAATTTAAGTATTTATGTTTTAATGTGATATTTATATTTAATTTAATTTTATTTGATTTCTGCTTTATTTAAAGGGGTCATATGATGCGATTTTAAGTTTTCCTTTCTCTTTGGAGTGTTACAAGCTGTTCGTGAATCGATAAGATCCCTAAAGTTGCAAAGACTAAAGTATCAAACCCAAAGAGATATTCTTTATAAAAGTTAAGACACGTCCACGCCCTCCTAAAATGCCTCGTTTAAACACGCACCCACATGTCTATGTCACTGTGTGGGAAGATTTGCATAACACCGCCCAAATGTTCACGCAAAGAAAGAAGGTGTAACTTTA